AGGGCTGCAGTTATAAGAAAGTACTGCAACTCGACTGCGTTATACGGTCGATAGGCAACTTTCGGAGTTAAAACTGCTGACAAGTAGTACTCGGTGGAAAACAAAACTCCATGGGTCTACAGTAGTGAGGAAACTGAGCACTGGAGCTGAACTGCGTTGACGTCAGCCTCACTCAATCTCTTTCCTCACTCCTCCAATATATCCTAACGGTCATTCTGAACGAAACTGACTAGAGATGAAGTCGGATATATTGCCAGCGCGGCATAAATCCTCGTTTGCGCATGTCACAACCCGACACCTTCCTCCACTCACCACGCAAAACATTTCTACGAATGTAACTAGACACACCGTTTACCTTCATCTGCCAGGTAATACCCGCTTCCGGTGACCGCAGTACACACCAAATTATCGTAGGGTTAAAAACGAAGACTGACTACGTGGTGCCGACAGAGCGAAATCCTTCAAAAGATACCACCATATAACTGAATCTTGCACAATTACTCCCTTCCCTAACAAATATCAAAGGTGTAATTTTCGTTGCATGAGTGAGTCAGGCCACCCCCGTCACCGTTACTGAATGACAGGTTGCAGAGTCTGAGTATGTTAGCCATCTAGTGTGCTTACTACTCACTACTATCGCCGAATTATGGCTGCAGATCATAGCCCTCTTCATGGGCGCCGTAGCCTGGGTTGAAGTATTACACAGAGGGGTTACATGATACCCCATATTAACAGCACAGGTATTAGCTAAAAGCCCAGACACGTGTTTCGCCAGTACTCTACCACCGCATGACAACTATCAGGGCTTAGGTTCGTGGATGAGCCCCCTAGCGTTCCCCGTGTGCCTTCTGGTAGGCGCTCCCGTTTTTAATTTGTTGCTTTTTTGTTTCATGGGAAAGTCACCCTGTTTGTTTGTTTGTTTGTTTGTTCAATGCGGTCAACTCTAGCGAGCTGATTGACTGGAACTTGCTCTTCAGGCAGTAGGACAACTATGTACTGGCAGCAATTCGTGGTCGGTGAATAGGCCGCGTCCGTACCCGCTGTCGGTTCTGTTTCTCAATTGCTTAATCGTCAGATGCAAAAGTCTGCTTTCTTTATAGATGGCCACTGCCGAACGCCGTTCAACCGTCTCTCATCCGTGATCTTGCCGGGTAGCCAGTGGTCCATTTTCACGGTCTAAAGCAGTTTTTGTGTATTCTAGAGAGGGGTGGGGGGGAGGGGAGGGGCGACAAAATGAATGGCTGTTTATACTGCCTAGTGAAACGGCATGCGTCCTATTCCTGTCATAAAATGTGTCACATCTATTTATCTACGAAGTATTCATTTAAAAATTACTACTAGCGATTGCTTAATCACTCGTTGATGAACGTTCACCTGACTGCTAACGGGACTCTTCTGTCCCACTCTGCCTTGGGCCTCGGCAGAGGCCCTGACAACCGTAACAGCTGGTAGTATAGTCAAATAGTATTGCCTAGTCAATGGTTAGGGCGTTTGACTCTGATCAAAAAGCCGTCAGTTCGAGGCTCGAATGGGCACCACTTGGGTCTAGGTATGACTGGCTGACGACGGCTAATAAGCCAGAAATGGCCATTCCATTCTCCCTTGTCTATGTAGGTAATAGTATCTGACTAATAAATCGCTGGCAGACTGGCAATAAGAGTACATCGGACGTCAACTTGAATTATATGTTATCCTGTGGAGTCAGCAGCAAAAAATTTTGGGTAGGGTATCCTTGTGGGGTGTTCGAAAGATCCTTGTGTATTATATCCACCTACTTAAATCTTTTAAGGAGGTTGAATTGCCCATAATCTTCCAGATTTCTATACGTGATCCGTCGGTCGAACAGAGATTCGATGATGGCATTTAACTGCGGAGTGGTCCGAAGTATACTAAGCAAAATCAGCCTTTTAAATTAACGACGGGAATAACCGCTTAGTTACAAATTTTAAATAGGGTGATTTCTACAATCTTCCCACCTTCGTACTGTGCTAACCTTTTTACTAATTGGTGTTGGTCGTTCCACTAGGAAATGTACACCAATGACCTCGCCTGAGGTTAGGGCACACTCCCTCTACATACACGCGTTTTCCGTTGGTTGGGCGGGGGTTTAGCGATGGCATTAAAACCCATTTCAGTGTCTTCTCCCAAGGTTTGAGTACGCGACCCAACTTGTCCTCGTAACATTTTTAGTTTACAGAAATGTTGCGATCTAATTTGTTCCCTGACATGCCCCGCTCGTCCTCTCCCCTAAAATCGGGTGCCCGTGAGCCTGATGGGCGCGCTTCGCACATTCCCCAGGCGGCCCCACGGGTATTGGCTAAAAGCCCAGACATTAATTTAGCTGACGAAGCGTAAATTTGAGTAACAGCAATACGGGACCGGTGGTGATAGGGGCTAAATGGGCGGGGCGTATCACGGGAAATAAAAATTTAGAAAGGAGAGCGATAAAGGTAGATAATAATAGGAATAATTATTTAATTAACCTAATTTTTGGTGCACGATATTTGAAATAAGATATACATGAATTACTAAGATTTCCGCGTAGGGTCATTGTTATATGTGGTTGGTCTGCGTCGTACTTGGGAAACAGCTGATGCAAAAGTAGTAAAAAAGTGTGCCTACTAATACGAAATAAGCACACAGGTATGCGAT